AAGAGGTGGGAGATTTTTAAAGCAGAAAACTAATAGAAGCATCAGTGTTCTGTCTGCTAAACTTTGTTACATTTGCTTTCATTTTTTGCAATTGATAGAGCATCCTTCTGAAAGTCTAAAACCTTCTTGTAGTTTGGAATGAAACTTTGACCACATCTCTTTTACAGTCTGAAGTCAAGGATAAAGAACTGAAGTTGGAGCAACTTAGTTCCAAAATTTCAGAACTCAAAGAGCTGACCCATAGTCAAGAGCCTCCTGCAGATCTTCAGGTAAACTAAAGATATTGGTAATCACAGACTGTGCTCAAATAACTAAGATCACATTTCTCTTGAAATTTCTGTCTCTTCTGCACTGCCTTTTTCTTTCGAAGTGACTGATACAGCATTATTTATATCTAACAGAACTATTCTTTGTTTGTATTTCTTCAGTTAACTTTGATTTTTTGTGTAAAATATTTGCCATAAAGTAATTAAACATTAGAGTTGTAGAAGTGTTTTTAATAAATCAAAACACAAGAAACAGTTTATAATGTAGCTGATCAGATATGAGACATGACTTTCTCTACACATTTAGTCACATCATATATGAGTGCAGAAACAGTTTGCTCCTTGAAAGAATTACAATGTAGTAAAATATGTTTATTTGTTTTATTAACCCAAAAGTATTCTTTAGTGTACTCAAATTAGTGCCCTGAACTAGCTCTAATTTGAGAGGGGTAAAATACAAACACTGAAGGTGAGCTGTTGAACTTTTGGCCAGGTACTTATGTTCTAGGGCAGTTGCAAAAGGCAAAGTATTATTATTTCGGATGTTTGATTTCAAACAGAAATTGGTATTTGAGATTATTAACTTTTCATGTCAGAAATTCTAAGAGATAAGCTGACCTCTGCAATTTGCATGGGCAGGGAAATATCACATTTTAATGGAACTTCATTTAACACTCAAGTCATGTCCATATTTTGCTCTGACTGTACACATAAGCCTAAATTACCAATTAGATATGGGTCAAGAACTCTATACTATAAAGATGTGCAAGTGATGTGGAAGTGATTATTTTCTCCAAAATTGTTTCCTTTTCATGAGAAGTTCAGAAAATTCAGGTTTTATCATATGTTCCAAAATAAATAAGTGTCCACTTATAGAGTGAAACTGAGAGCAAATTATTTGCAGAATATCTGTTAACCAACACACACCTATTTCCAACTACAAAATGTGATAAATATAAAAAATTAAATCTTATCTACAATAAAGTACTTTTAGTTGAAATATATATGCAAATTTTAAAATAAAGCCTCACAAGCTATAAATGGTACCCAAATACCCACAATATTATAGCTTCACAAACTATAAATAATACCCAAATATTTTGCCAACAATCAAATGCTAAATAAGTAAATTACAGTAGGATTAGCTCATACACTAAGAACATAAACAATTCTTTAATAGAATTTTCAGTAATGGCTCATTTAAGAGTCTTGGGAGTCTTAGTGGATGACAAGTTGACTATGAGCCAGCAGTGTGCCCTTGCATCCAGAAGGGCCATTAGTATCATGGGGTGCATCAGGAAGAGTGTGGCCAGCAGGCTGAGGGAGGTAATTCTCTTCTCCTTGGCCCTAGTGAGGCCACATCCAGAGTACTGTGTCCAGTTCTGGGCTCCTCAGTACAAGAAAAACAAGGAGCTACTGGAGAAGGTCCAGCAGAGGGCCACAAAGATGATTAGGCAGCTGAATCATCTCCCTTATAGGGAGAGACTGTGGGAGCTGGGTCTGTTTAGTCTAGAGAACAGCAGACTGGGAAGGGATCTCATTAATACATATAAATATCTCAAAGACAGGAGTCAAGAGGATTGTGCCAGACTCCTTTCAGTGCAGGACCAATGGCCATGAACTAAAACACAAGAAGTTCCATCTCAACATGAAGAAGAACTTCTTTATATTGAGGGTAACAGAGTGCTAGAACAGTCTGCCCAGGGATGTCTCTAGGCACATTCAAAACCCACCCTGACAAGTTCCTCTATAACCTGCTCTAGGTGACCCTGCCTTGACAGGGGGTTGGACCTAGATGTTCTCCAGAGGTTCCTTTCAAGCCTAACCATTCTGTGGTTCTATGATTTATATATGTATTATCATATTATGACTAATTTGATTTACTTTTCATTAGTGATATGTGCACAACTTACATCTACTATAATTTTGCATTTTGCTGTCTTTGAACAGGTTAATGCCAATATTCTAACTTATTTTTGTACTTTCTTCAATCTTCATCTGTCTTACACTGAGATACTTTAAGCCTCAGTGCTCTTCAGGCTCACCAATTGATATTTCTTTTTATAGAGCTAGTTGAGTTTAGGTCGTGTTCCCTATATATGGCAAATTAGTAAAGGAAAAAGATCAACTGTTTAATTTTTCTGAAGTGGATAATAACTTCAACAGTGTTCAGTCTGTTTTTTATAAATTAGTATCCCTTCTTTGGATTACTGTATATCTAAGACTGAATCCTGAATGGCTGACATTTTTTATGCATTTAAGTATCTCTAGTTACAACTGTAAAGAGAGCAAAATTATTATTGTTATAATTAATTAGCATTCTGTGGTTGTGTGTCACTTTCCTACCTTCCAATTTTTCAATAAGCATTCACCATAATAAGTGTTTTATTATTAAATGTCTTAATACATAACATTTTCGATTTAGTTTATAGAATCAGATTTGAGGCAGAAGTTGGAACATGCCAAAGAAATGTCAGACACAGCAAAAGAGACACTGAAAGATTTCAGTACTCAGAAGATGGAGTTGCAGAAGTTGATTGGTCAGATGACAGACTGGTTAACACAAGCGGAAGAGATGCTGTTAAGCTGTGCACGTAATGTGGATCCTGAAGCTCTAAGTAAAGTAAAGGTTGGTGCTGAAGAAAATTAATATGCTTTTTCTTACACAATGATCCTTGGGTTTTTCAATCAGAGTTTTTCCTAAGCATTATACATAATTCTCATTTGATAGAATCATAGAATCTTAGAATCAGCCTGGTTGGAAGAGACCTCAAAGACCATGTAGTCCAACCCTACCATCATTACTAGACAATGGCATGAAGTGCCACACCCAGTCTCATTTTGAAACCCTCCAGGGATGGTGAATCCACCACCATCCCAGGCAGACCATTCCAATGCCTGATTAAAAAATCTCCATAAAAAATCTCTTCCTATTAT